TTGGGAAAGGGTTTGCTTCTGTCTTTTGAAGAGAATGAAGGCATCCAGCTAAGGATTCTGAAGACCACTGGACAAATGAGTCATGTGAAGAAAAAGGACAAATCATCCAGAAAAAAAAATATGTCCCAAAGAAAAGAATAAACTGGCCTATTAGTATATCACACCTCCAACAGGATAAAATTTCATAAATCTTCCCAAATGTTTGTTTCTGCTTTTCTCTACAGACACATAATGCAAATTTTTTTTGTTTGTTTGGTTTTTTTGGGTTTTTTGTAGGCCCAGTTCAGCTGAAAATTAAAGCTGGCTTTGGAGTCGGAGTGTGACTCTCTCCTTCTCTAAACTCAAGCATGCTTGTTAAAGTAAAATCTAAAAATCTCTGTCTCATTTCAGAAGCACCACCTGATATGGGACAGAAGAAAAAACAAAATTTGGGGATTATTTTATTGCCGCTAATCTCATAATCTTTTATATTTTGACTCTCTAACACTTTTCTTAATGTATGAATATTATCTCAAAACGTATAAGATATATATAACCTGTCACAATATTAATGGTCAGATAGAGTACTAACTAATTCTAGAAAAAGGCTTCATTTAGCTTCCTGTATATGATTTCAGGTTTGAGTCTCTATCAGGTAACTAGGAATTGAGTTTTTGTACTCTAGATGTACATAACAAATATTGATTCTTTAACCTCTTTGAGATCTGCTGCATATGACATTTAAAATGTTTAAGTTTTCTGCACTGAACCATGACCATGCCTAACAGTGACCTTTGAAGTCTCCAAAAGGAGGATGGGGCCCCATGCTGATGACGTACCTGCACTATGATAACACCACTAAGCTGACAAACACCACCTAAAGATCAGCTTTGGACTACAAATGCTCAGGACAATCTCCAGGTGGCAGCTGAGATGATCCGGCCTCTCCGAGTACTCTAGCCAGGACTTGAGACAAGCTCTGCACTTTCCTATTATGCAGAGACTGGACAACAAATGATATAGCTATCTCTCCCAGGACTTGACTATTAACCCCAAATTTTCTTTTCAGGACCCCCTAAAACTGCTGTCGCCCCCAGACAACAGGAAGTTATTTTAAGAACATGATGCCCACACTCCCAAGAGGGAATGGATGGGTTTTTGTTTTTCAATGGGTTATGGATATTTGTCACTGTTTAGAGTAGTTGGTTACAAGTTATTACTGGCAATGGTCAGGAAAAAAACTGAACAAAGCAGGTTCGATTCAGGGTTCTTGTTTTGAAAAGAAAAAAGGGGGATATAGAAATGATAAGCTAAAAAGGGTAGATTACTGAATCTACTCTGAAAAAGAAAAACAAGAGGGATATGGATATGATAGGATTAAAAAGGTAGGTTATTGAATCTACTTTTAAAACGCAACTACTTGTTTAAATATTTTACACTGATATGGATCTTTGTATAGTGATACAAATTTGAGATTATTTTTGTTAGAACATACTACACATACATATCTACTCTTGTTCAAGGTATTATACCTATACAGCTCATTTACCAATGTAATGCAAATTGCTAGTCCTTGAAAGTTATTATTACAAACTCATTAGGATAATAAAAAAATGCAGGTTAGTACATAGTCACTTATTACAATTAAACTTATAGTAATGTTAGGTATGTTTTCAAGGTCAAACAGATATATTTTAGGTAGACAAGTGGTCTTCAAACACTTCAAAGATCTACAGAATATGACATTTAAGATGTTTTAATAACATAGGTTTGTTTGTTTGTTTTTTAATGACAATGAGACATGTCTGTTCCTGGCAGCACCAATCTACTTCAGAGAAGATGATGGGCATCAATGAAACTCCACATGGAGTTTACTTTCTTTGTGGTAGAAGGTAGTCACTAGGCAAGAATGTGTCCTTACCTCAACTGCTGACAGTATGCTGTCAAAATTGGACAAGTAGGACACAAAAGAAAGTGACTGCAGAACTTTGCCAAGACAAGGTAGGACAACCCTTCAGAATATCCTGCTTCACTAAAAAGTCTGTCAGACATGCTAGGCCTGTAGGCAGAAGATGGATGCCCCAACATTACAGAGGAACCTTGGGTGACTGTCCAGGCAGCCAGCTGTTTCTGTCATTTCTCACTTTTTTGGAAGTCACTTGCCTGCACTTTCTGCTTACTCAGGTAATATTATTTCCTTCTCAGGTCTCTGATGGAGTTGAAGGCTTTATAGTTATAGTTTTCCTTGTTACCAGATTCAGAAAAGAAATTCACTGAAGAGGTGTAAAGTGTATAGACAGAGTTGAGAGATAACAAAGATAATTTTGGGTTGGCAATGAAATTAGGATAGAAGGTGAATTAGGTACAATCTTTGGACTCACCAAGATAGGATAGATAATGGAGTATTTTCTCTGAATTTGTGAAATGTTAATGGCCTAGACATTGTTGGTGTAATTATTGCCTGTATATATTGTATATAGTTGTTATACTTATTGTATATAGTTTTTCTTATATTAGTTATAACTTTTTTAAATTTTAGATAAAAAGGGAGAAATGTGGTGATATTTTGCTTGTGCTCTAACAAAGCTTGCCTGGAGATCAGAGTGTGCAGCTAGCCACTAGTTAACCATAGAGGCCAGGCAGTCACAGCACACACCTTAAATTCCAGCACTAGAGAGGTGAGACAGGAAGTGATATGGCTGGGTGGAGAGAGGAATATAAGGCAGGCAGAGACAGGAGCTCTGCCCCCTTTCGGTCTGAGGAGTTGTAGAGGTGACGTCGGCTGCCCCTTCACTTCTCTGATCTTTCAGCCATTACCCCGTATCTGACCCCAGGATTTTATTATTAAGACCAATTAAAATTCGCACTACAATTACATGACAGTATGTTAGAAATGCAAGCTTTCCAGCTCCTTCTCAGGCCTACTGAATCATTATCAGCTGCGGGTGGGACCCTTTTTAAAAACATGATTTCTTAAAATAAACAGAGCCATCTAAGCACAAGTTCTGCCACTGAGCCACATCCCCGGCTTGGCAGTGTACGGTGTTTCTGAGGTCTGCCCACTCGAGAGCATTCATCTGTATATGAAAGGTAATCAGAGCTGACAGAAACCAGTACACAGTGTGTGTGTGTGTGTGTGTGTGTGTGTGTGTGTGTGTGTGTGTGTGTGTGTGTGTGGTGTTCCTCAGGAACCATCCTCCTGTTTCCTCGGTCTCTCACTGGCCTGGAACTGGCCGACAAGGCCCGGCTGACTGGCCAGCAGGCCCAGGCATCCTTCCTCCTGTCCGCACATGCAGCACCTAGCTTTTAGGTGGATTCTGGGAACTAAACACAGATCTTCATGCTTACACAGCCACCACTGTACCTCCTGAGCCATCTCCCCAGCTCGAACAAATCCCTTCAAACATGCACTGGAAGTACTCTCACACTTCAGAGAAACGTATCCTTCATGTACAACACAAAAGAGAAGAAAATCAAGATTTCAGCAGAAGCAAGCTCCCATTACAACAACAACTTTCTCTGCTTCCTTCCCCCGCTTCCCACCCTCCTGCTTATCTCTCAAGGCGGGAGTATTTTTTGTGACATTTTCAAATGTGTATGAATAGGAAGCTGGGGAATTCATTCCTCGTTTGATTTATGACCAAACACATCAAGCTCTTTTTGTTTTGGGCCCGAATGTGTCATGAATTGAGTCACAGCTACCCCATGGCTCATAATGTCACTTTCCTGCAGCACTGCCAAGGAGAAGGATGGCTCAACTGTCCTCCGCTGACTCGGATGCGCACTTACTGAAGGAAATGACTAGGGATGTGGATTTCACTGGATAGCACGCAGACTAATTCCAACTCAGATGCAGCCAGAATTAGACACTGGGTACCACGGCAACATCAAAGCGGACTTTTATACTGATACACGGTTAAAGGTGACAAACATATTTTAGACCCATGATTTAAGTCCAGGATATATAATCTTCACACAGGAAATTAAAATAATCTTGATGGGGTGCGTATGCACGCTCATGCACGCACACGTGCGCGGGGCACACACACACACACACACACCCCTCTAGAGAATGAATCTCCAAACTTGGGGGTTTTACTCTGATTTCAGGTCCAGCTTCTCAAGATCTTCAGGTCACCCCAAAATTTCAGCATGCCAAATTCCTCCCAGCCTCTCTTAATACTTAATAAGATCATAATGATTTCATATGACTCCAGCTGAAGCTATAAAAAGCCAAGTACTGTGAGGAACTCTTTCCAATGCATTTAAAGTTCCAAGAATGCCCAGCTAGGTCAGAGGCATCATTATCTATAATCTGTTTTAAGCAATTTTAGCTTAAAATTTGTAATGCTCTCTGGATTAATTATAAATATATTTTGGAAGTATTTGATTGACTAGTCAAGTAAGTTCTTATAATTATTCATAAATCTGTTGTGTCCTGTCTGAGGACTCAGACGCCCTCTGTAGACTCAGTACCACCCTGCTCTACTATGGTTCCTCAGTCTCCATCCACACTGTGAGAGAAAGCCCCATGCAGTCAAACTCAAGGCTTTCTTTTGGTATGAGCATCACTTGCTCCAGGAGACCTGAGCTAATCTACACAAGCCTGGCATTAAACCTGAGAAGATAAACAGATGTAAGTTACTATGTACCCATTGGGCAAGGTGCTATGAAGTAAAATACAACATCGGCCTCGTAACAACCAAAGACTTGTCTACTGGAAACACCACTCAAGGACAGTTTCCAGAGACAACCCAGCACAGTGCAAACATAATGAGGGTCGACGCTGAGAGGAGTAATAGAGGACTTCTTTTCCATGACCCCAAACTGAACTCAGACGGAAAACCACGCCTTTCCCCTCCAGCTGGAAACGGAGAGACACTGTTCAACAAAGATTCTGCTTGGCCCTCTCCCTTGGGGAGCCCCCAACGAGTGGGCAGTGTCCTCAGATCTAATGGCTTAAATGCTTGCTGGCCAAGCGGGGATGGCTTCCCTTCCTTCAGCAGCACAAAGCAACTTACGTAGTGGCTGTCCAGTCCCCACAGTTTCCTCCCTCTGCTGCAAGGTGGTTTCTGTCTGGTCCAGAAGGTCCATGGGCAGTTGAAGTTGTAGGAGATGGAGTGGACAGTGAATCCTGACTGCTGGTGGGGGTGTCCTCCTTGAGAGGGCCGGGATTGTCACCTAGAGGGAATAGAGCACTGGGTTCACAAACAGAAGAAAGAAAAACTAATAATAATTACATGCCCTTATTTATCAAATTATTTTCAAAATTACATTCATACTTCAGCCCGAAAGTGTGCTGATACCAGGCCTTTGAAGGTTTGCACCTGTGAATTTTCCTTTCTTACATACTTCCAATGAAGACACTCAGTGCTGTTAGTTTGGATATGGAAATGTCCCCCAAAGACCACTCAGCTAACAGCCTGAGTCCCAGCCACTGGCACTGCTGGAAAGTGGTGGAAGCCTTAGGAAGTACAACCTTATAAAATGTTTACTTGGTCACTGAAGGTATGTCCTTAAAGGGGACTTTGCAATCCCACATCCTTCTTCGTCATTCCAAGAGGCAACAACTGTCTCTATCTCATGTACCCTATTGTTCCCCACAAGCCTAAACAATGGGCCCAATCAGTCATGGACTTCAGTCTCTAAAACTGTGAGCCAAAGAAAGCCTTCTCCTCTCCATAAGGTGGCATGTCACAGGTGTTTATTACAGTGACAGAAGGCTGACTAACACATAGATTAAACCCCACAATGAGTGAAGAAAGAAAATAAACCGAAGACTGAATGGAGAACAAGTACCTTGTATGCAGCCACGTGAATGCTGAGCGTACAAAGATCCCAGACACAGACCAGTGACGACATCAGGGCAGCCCAGGGTGGCACAGTGCCATGCAGAGCCCAATCCCTTATCACCGGCTCATCTCGCACCCTGACTGCATGATACAAGGAACTAGAATTCTGAGCTACTACCCTGGACTATGATTTCTAACGGTTTCACTTACTAATAATATTCAGGCATGAAGGAGCTTCTATTTCCCTGTGAACACTGAGGGGACAACACAGTGCTGGGTCCCCACAGTCCCTGCAAGGGATGAATGTAAACCACAACTAAGCAGCAGGTCCTAAATGAGGTGTGTGATTTATGCCACTTTATAAAAACATGTCCACCACTATCTGTATGTCTTATCAGCTTGTGTAGAAATGCAAGACAGAGAAGATCTGGCGAAAGCAGCTATTCCCCTCAGCTGGCCTTGCTTTCATGAAGTCCCAGCTTCTATAAAACACACAGGAATGCCCCCAGGCAGAACTCTGTTCTTTCTGCCCAAGGAGCTTACTAACTCTTGACACCTCCCCCCCCCCCCCCCCCCACCCCCCACCCCCAGGGTGACTTGCAGAGGAAGACGGTCCACAGACACAGCACTAACCTGGCCTTGATTTTCCAGGTAATGGGTCAGAACAATTGCCCAACACTGCCACAGCAGCAAATGGAGGTTCACAACCTTAGCCAACAAACGCCCCAAGTGCACTGAGATGTCACAGATCCCTACCCTGGATCATAGGTGCAGCGTGCACACAAATGCCAGGGTTAAAAAAGAACTCTCTCTTAGGAAACCATTTCAGAAAAATTTCAATCCCTCCCAAAATGAACCAGAAGACAAATTCCAGGTCCTGACTAGACTAGACCCTGGGATGCCAGTCTTGCAACCTGAGTGTAGAAAATAAAATCTAACTGACTCCTGACCCAACTCAGAACTAAAGTAAGTGTCTTAGAATTGAGATCTGGAAAAGCTTCTTTAGGGAAGTGGGCATCCGAGTTAATGGAATGGGGACAGATGCCTGGGGAGACAGAGGAAGGGAGCAGCACCCTGCAGAGAAGGGAGCATGCAGCACTGAGTGACCGACTTGGAGCGGATCCTCTCCCTGGACTGCACCTCCTTGTAAAGTCTTGTCCTCTCCTCGTCACAAACATTCTAGAAATACCATTTAATTGATCTTTCAGCAAGTCACTTTATGGTAGCCCTTCAGCTCAAACATGTTTGCAACTGAAGACATTCAGCCCTGACAGTGGCGCCAACTTAGGGGCAAGTGGACCACACCCACTGTCAGAACACTGCTTCAGTTTTTAGAACGGAGTTCCCTCTGAGAGCACAGCTGCCTCTTCCTGTGCTTAGAAAGCTCAACTCCACTTCTTTTCTGCACAGACAGAAACTGTCCTCAGTCACTGTGAGTCACTACTCTACAAAATGGAGAGGGACCCAGCTGGGTGTGGTGTGCACACTCCTCGAGCTCAGGGGTCTGGGGCTTGCAGGCTGCAAAATTTCATGTAGATATCCAACCTAGACCACATGCAAGACCAGAAAGAGAGGGTCAAAGACAGTGTCTTTGGCTTGAATGTGAACCCTCCCACCCCACCCCACACAAATAGGTTTGCGTGTTTGAAGCTGTCTTGAAAAGTTATGGAGCTTTTAAAAGAGGGAGCCTTGCCAGGCGGTGGTGGCGCACGCCTTTAATCCCAGCACTCGGGAGGCAGAGCCAGGCGGATCTCTGTGAGTTCGAGGCCAGCCTGGGCTACCAAGTGAGTCCCAGGAAAGGCGCAAAGCTACACAGAGAAACTCTGTCTCGAAAAACCAAAAAAAAAAAAAAAAGAGGGAGCCTCACCAGAGGAAATGGACCACTGGGGCTGCCTTGAGTTTATGTCCTTCTTCCTATCCTCTAGTTGCTTCCTGACTCGGGGTGCAATGAAAATATCCAGGGGATTCATGCCGTCTGGATGGACTGTGTGTACCCCTTCAACTATAAGCTCAGAGAGTTCATCTCACCCCTTAGTTGACTTCTGGACAGGGATGTGGCCACAGCAATGATAAAAACACCCTCAGTATCAACCTACCTTTAGGACAGGTAACCAATTCCAGCTCAACACAAGAGCCCAATTTGGCAGCTCCTTGTGAGAGGGACACACAGTTGGTTTCCTGGCTCCCTGAGGCTAAATCGCCATTCTTCCAGGTTCACCCACTGACTCCAGGTCAGTGCCTAACTCAGAAAAAGCAATTGTGGAGAATCTGGGAACATCTTCCCTTCTGACTCATTCCTACCAGGGGAAGGGCTGAAGAGCAGAAGCAGGTCTGGGGAGTCTGAGAGCAGGGGTCTAATGTTACTTTAAAAACACCTCCAGGAACAGCAGTTCACTCACAATGCCTCTAATCCCTTCCCCAGGCAGACTTACACAGCACAAACTGTCACTCAGCATGCTGAGTCACATTCTATTAGGAGCACTGTCTTCCAGTCTGCCAGCAGTGGCAGTCTGAGCCCTCAGGTGAGAGCGACATGGTAGATGGGAATATGTTTACAGACTGATCAAATGAAGACACCTCACTCTACTTTCTCAGCAGATAAAACTCCTCATCTCTGTTCAGGAATGAGTCTGTCTGCTCATAAGAATCTTGTGAACAGGGAGAACAAGAACCACGTCCATCATGTACATCAATAGTCAGGCTTATAACCATTTCCCAAACTGCTCCTAACAGTGTGGGTTATCAATATATTTGTATGTGGAAGACAGGTCAATCCTGGCTGTTATGCTCAGACACCTCTTTTTCATTTACAGGGTCTCTCACTGGCCTGAAACTCAACAAGTAGTCTACGTTGGCTGGTCAGCAAGCCACGGGACAGGGATCCCCTTATCTCCACCTCCCCTGCTCTAGAATTACAAGCATATGCCACCATGCCCAGACTTATTTCCAATGGGTGGAAATCAGATCATCATGTTTGCGTTACCTCGCAAACCCGTGTTCTCAATGCTCTCTAAAGCAAGTGTTTGAAATCTTGTGAGATTAATTTATAACTGAGAATCAGGATCAGATGCTTTTTTTCTCATTTTGCAGTGCTATGAACCTAGCAAATGCCATGTAAGCACTCTACCAGAGGGCCACAGGCACAACCCCTGGTCATCTTCATCTCTCACTTCTTTTAGTAAAGCAACCTTTACCCTCAGGTGCGAGCCACCCTTTAATGAGCATCTACAAGAAGTCCTGTGACTAAAAAGAGCAAAAATGGTACTAAAAGACATTTGTTTTCAATAATCACTGACACATAAGACACCAGGCAACGCCCAGCTTAAACCTGACCTCCAGCAACCACTTGCCAACACCGTCTGCACTCTCCTCTCCCCTCAAGCAGCATCCATCTGCCAGTTTGCTGCTGCACATGATTTTAATACCTAATCTAGCCTGCCACCCAACTTCCATCATACATGTTTTGAGGGTGGAAACAACGTCTCAGGCTTGGTAGTCCTTTACCGGCACATGGTGTTGCCAGGCAAAACTTGAGGAAATGCCATGGACGCTCTACTATAAGAAATATCATGGGTATGAGGGCCACTGCCTCCAAGACTGAGCAGAGAATAGAGGATCTACACTTGTCAGTGTGTTCTCACAAAACTGGCCAGTGCTTTCCACTTCTCAGCTCCTCCCTTCCACACCACAAGCATGTCCACTCCCTGCCCTTCTGACTACTCACCAGGCACATGAGCGATGAGGCTTTACAGTTATAGCATTGGTTCCTGGCCCCAAGGTGCTCACAGGCTAACACTGGAGACCGGTGACAATAAGCAGCAAAGGTGGCATTTGCATAATGAGACTTTCTGAGGGGCCTTGAGACTCAGGAAACAGGACAGTGGGAGACATCTCTGCCAGACTAAAGAACAGAGACTGATAGAGAAACATCAAGTTGAAAGACAGGTGAGAACTTGGCACTTTTCAGAGCTGTGAAGTGGTTGGATTTGGCTGGAGTATGGGGGGGGGGCAGGCAGAGGCAGAAAACAGAACTCTGTGTAACACTGGGGCATCTGAATTCATCTGCAGGTGGAAAGAGCAATTACGGGGAGCAATGCGATCCAGAGAAGGGAGCCAGGAGACATCCAGGCACTGCAGTCAGCAGAACTCAGTCAAGACAAGTGAGGGTGGAAAGAAAGTGACTCACAAGTTCCCTGAAAAACTAGACGGAAGGACATACCAGAGGAACATGCATTTCACTTTATTTCACTCTTGCAGGGCTGAGAACCGAGCTGGGGTCTCATATGCTGGGCAAGTGCTCTGGCACTGAGTGTCTTAATTAGGATTTCCATTGCCATAATGAAACGTGACCAAAAGCATGTTGGGAAGAAAAGGGTTTAATAGCTTACA